TGTGTGTGTGTGTGTGTGTGTGTGTGTGTGTGTGTGTGTGTGTGTGTGTGTGTGCTGACAATACTATGAACTTACTTCCGTGATAGCTGCTCTCTCTCTCTCTCTCTCTCTGTGCTGACAATACTATGAACTTACTTCCATGATAGCTGCTGTGGACCTTTGCCTCACACAGAACTGACACATCCCTTCTTCGTGTCAAAATGCATACCCTGTCGGCATTGGTAGTGTCTTTGACCATCACTTGTGTGCATGTGTGTGTTTGTGTGGGCTTCTGTGTCGTGTGTGAGTGCTGGCTATAGACACTGCTGTTACTCGATAGGGTCTGAGAAAGTAGATGGGGGCGCAGTCACTGGCAAAATGCTCGGTCTCGCATTCGCTTGCCCCACCCCACCGGCAGCCTCACCCGACTCCCTGACCACTGCCGATTAGGGTGGGAAGCAATGTCCATCCCCTTGGGCTTAGCTTCACAGAAAAAAAAAGAAAAAGAAAAAAAGGTACACATCCAAATCTGGAGCAAGGCCCTAATATGCAGTTGCACTCAATAAACGCACATCTTCCTTTTGAACATCGGAAGATACACCGCCATATTTTCTGTCGTATTCCCCCTTGGCTTCCTCGGGACTCTAGGAGCTCATGATGAAGTCACTACGGGTTTCACTCAACTACTCACCAAATGTGCAGAACGGGAATGAATCTTTCCCCGGAACATGGACAGATACACTACCCTATTTTTTGTCTTTTGCCAACACTTGTGTTTACTTTCCATCCAGGTGGGCTCGCCATGTACTTGCATTCAAACATGAACCCGTTATCTACAAAATGAACACCGCTCAGGGCATGGAAAAACAAAAACTCGCAGACCCCGGCCGGGCCGTTTTGGACATGGGAAATAAAAAAATTGCATCCCCCGTGCGCCAGTGCCCCCCCAGGACCTCTTGTTTGCCAGCGATTTTCGCTGGGTCCAGAACGATTTTCGCTGGGCCCAGAGGGGGCATCAGCTGAGGACTGGGTTAGTCTTTAGAAGATAATAATATGTGGAGATACGTAGACGCAAATGCATAGATGTAGATATGTAGATGTAGATATATAGAGATACGTAGATGCAGATATATAGATAAAAGATATGTAGATGTGGATATACAGATAATACACACACGCACACGCACACACACACACACACACACACACACACAC